GGGGGCACCAGCTCCGTGGGTGGGTCCCAGGTCAGGACCTCAGTGTGTATGTGGGGGGCACCAGCTCCGTGGGTGGGTCCCGGGTCAGGACCTCAGTGTGTATGTGGGGGGCACTAGCCCCGTGGGTGGGTCCCGGGTCAGGATCATGGTGTGTGGGGGGCACCAGCTCCGTGGGTGGGTCCTGGGTCAGGATCAAGGTGTGTGTGTGGGCACCAGCTCCTTGGGTGGGTCCTGGGTCAGGATCAAGGTGTGGGGGGGGGCACCAGCCCTGTGGGTGGGTCCTGGGTCAGGACCTCAGTGTGTGTGTGGGGGGGGACCAGCTCCATGGGTGGGTCAGGGTCAGGATCAAGGTGTGGGGGGGGCACCAGCCCTGTGGGTGGGTCCCGGGTCAGGACCTCAGTGTGTGTGTGGGGGGCACCAGCTCCATGGGTGGGTCAGGGTCAGGACTCCAGGGCACTTCCATCTTCCTGGTACAAGCCCTGGGGGCTGAAAAAAGACCATTCCTGCAGAGCAGGTCCCCCATGTGGCCTCTGTCCCCCACATATCAGGGGGTACTTAGTCCTGCGTGTCCCTCATAGCTGTGTGCAGTGACCTGAAGTCCCTTCCCAGGCCTCCTCCTCCCTCTTCCTCCCCCTTCTTCCCCTCCCCTTGTCTTCCTCTTCTCACTGCCCTTCTTTCTCCTCCCCCTCCCCTTCCTCTTTCTCTCATAAGTCTCCTCCTCCTCTTCTTCCTCCTTTTCATTCTCCTCATCCTCTTGTTCCTCCTCCTCTTCTGATTCTCTTTTCTCCCCTCTCTGCTTCTCACTCCTCCTGTTCCTCCTCCCCTCCTCCCCTCCTCCCCTTCTCCTCTGATTCTCTTCCCCTCTCTGCCTCCTCCTCCTCCTGCGCCTGCTCCCACTCCTCCCCCCCTTCTTGCCCTGAGGGTGGTCAGGGAGGGCAGGAGCCACTCACCCAGCCTGTCTCCTCAGCCCTGTCCCAGGAATGCACCAAGTACAAGGTCAACTCCTGCCAGGATTGTATCCAGCTGGGGCCTGGCTGTGCCTGGTGCCAGAAGCTGGTAAGACGCTTGGCCCTGAGTTCTGGTCATCTCCTGTCCCAGGGTTCCTGGGGGTCCCAGGGCGGTCACACTGCTGGAGAGAATGAGCACATGTCCCCTTGGTGGGCAGCTCCCAGGACACAGGCCCTCCCCACGGGACAGTGCTGGTGATGAGTGCTGGGTCTCCCAGGCTGCCCTCAAGGATCAGCCCATGGGCCGGAGCCCCTCCAGCTGCCTGGCACAGTGGCCAGGGGTGGGAGGAGGGCCTGTGGTCTGACTCCCGTCTGCCTGGGCTCCCGGGGAAGCTGTCTGGGAGGCTGAGGTCTTCCCTGGCCACTGAACCCCCCCAGGGGGTTCTCTCCCCAAGTCTGAGCACAGACAAGGGCACAGCTGGTCCTACAGCCTCCCCTGAGTCAGCCGCCCCCCCCCCCAGAACTTCACAGACCAAGGGGAGCCTGACTCCACCCGCTGTGACACCCGGGAGCAGCTGCAGAAGAAGGGCTGTGAGGCGGACAACATCCTGGACCCCCGGAGCTTCGCCATGCCCCAGAAAGACCCACAGAGGGGCAGCACACAGCTGTCCCCACAGCATGTGACCCTTCACCTGCGGCCAGGTAGGCGTGACACCCTGTGTGGTGAACTTAGCTCACTTTGGTGGCCAGGGCTGACCACCTGGGCATGTGTCCAGGATGGACAGCTAGGTGGGCCAGGGAAGGCCTGAGGGCTGTGGGACCTCATGACCTAACTCTGACCTCCACCATGCCCCTTCCTCTCTCTGTGCCCCAGGCAAGTGACCTCAGTGTCCTGTCTGTGGCTGAGGGTCTGGCCTCTGTTTTGAGGTGTTATTTAGCACAAAGAACATGCTATTAGGAAAACACTGTTCTCGTCCACCCTCAGAAGGCCAGTGCACTCTTGGCAGAAGTTCAGATAAGAACTGTGATATGTCCTGCAGCCAAGAATCTGGGGAACCAGGATTGGCCAGCAGCCCTGCACAGCCCTGGTGCTGCTTAGGCGGGGCTGGGGAGGGGAGTGGCGGGGAGAGGGGAGAGCGGAAGGCTCTGCTCTCATTACCCAGTGCTGCTGGGCCATTTGAGGTTGGTGAGGACAGCCTCATCCCTGCACGCTGCCACGTGGGAAGGCCAGGGGTGGCTGCAGGGTGAGCACAGCGTGTCTGAGGGCTCTGGGACCCCACCCCTGGAAGCCCAGGCTGGAGCTTGGCTGAAGACACAGGTCAAAGTCGGCAAACAAGGACATCCGGAGAGCCGACAGCAGGCAAGGCGTGAGGCTCGGGCCCAGGGAGGAGCCCCAGGGCCAGCGCATGCAGGGACAGACGTCCTGGGGGCCAGCTGGAGACAGAGCCTGCCCCTCCTGCCTGTAAACTGGCACAGGCCCCTCTGCTTATGACTCACGAGCTCCTGCTGACCTCTGAGGGCAGCACCGGGGTGTCATCGCAGACACCATTTCTCAGCAAGGAAACTGAGTCAGGCACGGCACGGCCACACTTGTGGGATAGAGAGGCAGCTCCCCATGCCACAGGCCTTGGGGACACCAACTCGCACCCTAGGCACTCACAGAGGCCCCACATTCCATGCCTCCACCTCCAGGGCACCCTAGGCACTCACAGAGGCCCCACATTCCACGCCTCCACCTCCAGGGCAAATTTGGGGAGAGGGAGAATGCAAGCAGTCTGCAACAAATGGCGTCTTTGTACTCTGAGTGAGCTGACTTCAAACCTGCCACACCACTGGAGTCCCGCCCCCGGCCTCTGACCCGCTGGGGTGAAGAGGAGAGTCAGAAAGGAGTTGGAGACTGTGAGGAGTGCAGTGCAGCCAATGCCAAGTGCCCATGGGTGCCTAAAACACGTGTGGGGAGTGTGACCCGGGGTCCCTAGAACTGTGTGGGGAGTGTGCCCCAGGGTCCCTGGAACGCGCCTGGGGAGCGTGCTCCCAGGTCTGGAACGTCTGTGGGGAGCGTGCTCCCAGGTCTGGAACGTCTGTGGGGAGCGTGCTCCCAGGTCTGGAGCGTCTGTGGGGAGCGTGCTCCCAGGTCTGGAACGCCTGTGGGGAGCGTGCTCCCAGGTCTGGAACGCCTGTGGGGAGCGTGCTCCCAGGTCTGGAGCGTCTGTGGGGAGCGTGCTCCCAGGTCTGGAACGTCTGTGGGGAGCGTGCTCCCAGGTCTGGAACGCGTGTGGGGAGCGTGCTCCCAGGTCTGGAACGTCTGTGGGGAGCGTGCTCCCAGGTCTGGAACGCCTGTGGGGAGCGTGCTCCCAGGTCTGGAACGTCTGTGGGGAGCGTGCTCCCAGGTCTGGAACGCCCGTGGGGAGCGTGCTCCCAGGTCTGGAACGCCCGTGGGGAGCGTGCTCCCAGGTCTGGAACGCC